ATGAATTCGACTCTAAAAATCCTTTTTGGACTAATTTAGATATTTAAATACCTTGAAATGGAGTAAATATAGTGAATCTCTGAATGCTTCTTTAAAAATAATGAGGATGAATTTATCACTCTAAAGCAAAAATCGTGAAAAAAATTAAACAAAGAAACATTCTTTTGGACTGAAATTGGATTTTTTGAGGTTATGATTGACTTTAAAGCTTTTCCTCAATCAATATCCAGCTTTTTTTGATCAAAAATGCTCATTTATGTGGAGAAAAAGTGAAATAATTCCAGCTTAAACACAAATTTGATGACGAAATCGATAAAAACTGTTTTAAATCAGTCACATAACCTAGAAAAAGTAAAAAAAATTGATTTTGTTCGAGAAAAATTATGTAGAAAATGCCTCAATTTGTTCAAACTGAAGCTTTTTCTCTGCAAATATGTTAAATATTTCACCACTTCCAATTCAACAAAAGCTGTACACCACTTCCGACCATCACATCTGCCCCTTGCTCTCTTCTGCACCCCAGCGGAATGGGGTCTGAGGTCACCCTCAGTGATGATACCCAGTGAGGCACTTTTTCATTTTCTTCCCCGTGTTTTGTCACACATAAAAATTTCTTATGTAATCTCCTTTGTGATGACATCCCTATGGACCATTGCACTCCCTCCTAATATGGATTTTCTTAATTCTGCGGAAAATATACACATGGGACACGCTCTATGTGTAATTAACCGTAGCAAAATATTGCCTTCGGTGTTTTGTATATTGTACTGTGTGTATTTTGCGCTTACAGGGAGTGTATTTGCTCTCGACTATATATGATGTGCTTCGGGACGAAGGTGCTGACTTTGTTCATTCCCTCCCTCCCTCTCATCCCCCAGCACCACCTCGTCGGCTTTAATGGGGCGCAAGAGGAGGTGGTGGACCAATGTGATGAACTGCCAGAGGATGTGTTTGAGAATTACACGTGCATTCGCCTCAAATACGCTCTCACTGTTCCATAGATTACAGTGAAAAAGTTTATGATTGTAATATACCCCCAACGTATAAAGGAAGACGCAGAGGAGAAAGAGGATGCGAAAGAATAGCTGCCCAAATGCCATTCAGGCTCTACATAAACTTATCTTTCTCTCTGTGCAAAAAGGACTCTGTGCACGATGGAAAGTCTGAAAAAAATATCAAACTATCCTTGCTTGTCCGAAAGTTTCTTCTTTCCTGACACTTTACAGAGTCCATAGTTGGATTTTGAGTAATAATATTTTGTCTTAATTAATCTCTGAACTCCAAGAAAGCAATTGGATTCGTCTCAAAGGACGAAAATCAGGAATAAAAGCTTGTAAATCGCTACAATTCCAGGTTTTCTGGCATTGAATGGACACAAAGATTAAGAGAAACCATTTTCCAATCATAATCAATAAGAAATTGTGATATTAAACTGCTGCCCTCTGGCGGCAATATGCGGCGAAAATATTCAATATTTAAATATATTTGCATATTTTACCGGAAATACTCAATTTTTCAATATTTTGCAGTTTTACTTGGGAAAATGTTGATTTTTTGAATGTTTTTCCTTTATCATCCTAAATTTCATTGGTGTCCTAAGTTAATTTTCCCTACTGGATATATTTTATCTCTGCGCTTTCTGTACATTGAAATTACCACCATTTCATGTTGGCTGAAAGCTCTCGCAAAAAGGACACATAATATGTACATTGCACAATTGAGTTGTGGCGTTGCAGCGAAATTCAATGCAAATAGCCGAGAGAAACTGACATTGCAGTGGCAAATAATTTGATACTTTCTGTATACACATAAAAATCATGCTCATTGCCGAATGGCGGGCTGAAGTAGAGTGTGTGGATGGCAGTAAAAGCATATTCTGGCACATTTGCGCGCTCGCGAAGGATGTCTTTGGCAATTTTGGCGGTGAGGCGCTCGAGGAGGGCAAATGGCAGAGGAAAAATCCCGCTCAAAATGAAATATTAATGGTCGAAAGTACAAAAAGATGGTGAACATTTCATAAAAAATTTAGGGTAATAAAAGTAAAATGTTGGAAAATTTATAAATCGCATGTTCAGTGTGTGTCTTTTGGCTATTGAATAAGAATAAAAATCGAGGGGCGTGAAGAACGTCAAGCACGACTGAATGTGATTGTCTTTCTCCTCAATTTTTCTGTCTTTCTCTCCCCCTTTTTTCTACGTCGCCCTTCCTTCTCTGTCCACAAACTTGATATATAGAAAATCGGTTTGAGAATTTCATCTTAAATAATATTTATGGTTTCTTCTGCCTCATATGCGCACACACACACATTCATTGCGAGGATATGGGAGATTTTTGCGAAATCAAAATCACATCCTCTCTCGCTTTGCACAAACTCTACAATTTTATTAAATTTACGACTGTTCGTGAATTGCATTTCAACATTAATAATAACGAAGTAACGATATTTTATGTTTTAATGTACTCTTTCCCCGGCACAGTCAAAATTCCCGCATGTATGGTAATTCGTTTGGAATGTGCTGAGTTTGAATAAAATATTCAGGATGTATAAAATGCTTGAGATATGTCGGCGAGAGGCGGTTTTTAATCAAATAATTAAATTATGCGCTACAAGGTCTAATTAAATAATTGCGGCTGGGATTGGATGGGTGAATCGCTGCCACTTCTTCCTCAGTCTTAACGAACTCCGGTGAAGACTTCGAGGCTCTGCAGAAGACGCGCTCGCGAGTCAAGGGGTGAATTGTATGCCTCTTAAGCGGCCAATTTTTCATTAAGACCCCCGCACTCAAAAGTGTTTTCCCACAACTACAAATTCCCAATCGAAAGCCGCACACAGTTTTTGAAGTCCCTTCCTTGGAAAAACCCTTGAGAATTTACAACGCGCGCGCGAGAGTGCAAGAAAGTATGTAAATTAGGGGATGATAAAAAATTAATTCCATCTTCTATGCAATATTCATTTGCTTCTACATTTTTCAACATGATAGAATTTTTTCTGCCCAGGAAGAGGAAAAAGCATTTGTTTTATCAAGTTACTCACTAGATAAGCCATCGTCTGCACGTGAAAGCTTTCTGTTGAAAAGCTTTTAATGACGTTCTCTTTATTATTTGCATCTTGCTGCTTTTTTCCCTTATCGATATATATCTTTATAAATTTTCATATTCGCATATTTAACTTGTTCGCAAATTTTGCATAAATCTCGTAACGAAATTTGCATCTAATATGTGGGAGTAGTTTAAAGGTTATAAAACGAGCTCGTCTCATTGAGAGTGAGAGAGAGAGAGAGAGAATTGACATGGGAAGATGGCGAATGTGGGTGAATTTTCCTCCCCAGAAGATACGAAGGAGGATATGAAATTCAATTTAAATGCATATAAGCATGTGAGGTAGTAGACGAGGATGTAAGAGCAAGTGAAGGATCATTGAAAGTTCATTAACAGCTTATTATGAAGAGCACAATTAATAAACTTTGTTGTTTAATTGGGTATTTAACTTTAATCGTCATGGTTTTATTAGACATTTAATGTCATTTTGGCATGAGTGCACTCACTCAAAATAATTACACGTAGGTGAAACACATCTAATATATGCTGAGATGTGTAATGAAAAAGTTGTCATATTCAATTACACCCTCGACGGCGTAATTCTATCATTTTACAGCGACACACATTGTCCGTACAATTGCAATTAAATTTCAATGCAAGGGGAGGATTATATGGCCAAACTGTGTACACCACTTCCTGACACTTTCACAATTTGTATGGAAAATCCTTAACATGCGCTTTCCCTTTTTTTCAACAGTCTAAAGTGTTATAACCTCAAATTTAGGAGTGTTTGTTCCAAAATAGAAGCATTTTTTACCTTTTATGACCTTAAAAAGTTAGTGATAAATAATATATTTAAGAAATATTTTGAAGTTTCCAGTGGATATTTTCATGTGATTTAATTTTCAATCGCTCTTTTAGATGTATTTTGAAACATAACCTAGAAATTATCTTGAGATATCGAAAAGATTCTGTGAAAGAAACTTATTCAGAATCTTTTAAATGCAAGACAAATCGACAATGAGCTGAAATTTGCAATTTTTGAATAGAAAATCAATCAAACAGCTCTCGAAATAGACAATTTTGTATTCTGAAACAATATTTTTTAGAGGTTATGATCAATTTTAGCACAATTAACAGCAGATTTAAATTGAAATCTTGTGATCTTTAACAGTTTTCATTACAATTGCGCCAGTAAATGTAAATTAAACCCAGTTTAGGTGCAAGAATGAATGATTTTGAAGGTTATTTAGGAGTAAAGTTTGTCTTTAATTCACAACATAACCTAGAAAAATAGGAAAAAAATTCTTTTCTCCAAATATTGCGATAATTTTGTCAGAAAATGACATTTGAACGCATTTTGTTGATAATTTTCAAGCATTTTCACTTCCAAATACTTCAAATTGAATTGTACACCACTTCTGACTGTATTATCACCCCCTTGCTTCATTGATATCTCTTCTGTGTCACTTTTGGTCCCTCTTTTTGCGCCCATCAGGACATCTTCCCTTTGCAATGCATTTTATATCATAACAAGGATAACAAGCGAATGAGCCGAGAGACAAATTGCATTTTGGCATGCAGAACGTTTTACGATATTTTGCAAATTCCCCGTTCAATCTTCAATTGTGCCGCTTATTAGAAGCTAACATGCAATTGTGCCACATGACATATATTTTATGAGACGTCGGATGTAATTTTGCCTAATGACACAATGGTTTTTTTTTTCGTTGTGTGGGGTGAAAAACCCCCGAACAACAAAATGTGACAAAGAGAAGTTCATTTAATTTTTTGAACAAAAATATGCACCCAATTTCGTGTGCAATTTATGTAATGTTGAACACGGATTTTTGCCCATATTTGACTTCATTTGGGGAGCGCATAAAAATCTCAATGCTGAGCTCATTAATAATTCGACAGAGCGTCGCGTATAAAGCATACGAGGACGAAAATGTACTCACATTATGTTTCCACACAACTTTGTATGCAGCTGGATTAGCGTGCACTTTGCATTCAAAGTACACGTCATCTCCTTCCTCGATATCTTCCGGATTTAAATTTGATCCCAAGTCCAGCTGAAGAGTCGGAATAACTGCAAATATGTATTAAAAATTTAATATTATACAATCCTCCTCAATGGCTCTCGCCAGATATTATGTGTATGAATGTTTAAGGATGGCAAAGAGTGGGTGGAAAAGCATCAGGATGAGCCAGACAGGGAAGTGTGGGTGGAAAATCAACTTGCTGCAGACTTTTTCTAGCCACTGGGGCTTGTCTTTAATTTTTATTCTTTCTCAGTCATCGACTTAGAAACAATTTCTTCAAGAATTATTATTATATCGTTGTGTGCGCATAACTATGGACAAAGGAAAGATAATTCGGCTAAACAGTGTACACCATCAATTTCTGAGAAGAATCACAGACTAAAATGCGTTTTCCTTAATTTTCCAAGCGCTTAAAGTCTCATAACCTCAAATTTAGCAATCTTTGTCCTAAAAACACACAAGTTTTCATTGTAAAAATCCTGAAAAACTTACAAAAAACAGTATTTTAGAAATATTTCAAGTTTCCAGTGGATATTTTAATGTGATTGAATTTTCAATCACTCTTTTGGTTGTTTATTTTATCCATTTTATCATAACCTAGAGATATTATAACAGAATTTATATGTTTTTAATCGAAAATGAGCTGAAATTTGCTATTTTTGAGTAGAAAATTAATCAAACGGTTCCTAAAATAATTAATTTTGTATTTTGAAATAATATTTTGAACAAGATTTTGAAAGATAAATGGAAAATAACCCATCTTAGGCGCCAAAAAGAACGATTTTCGAGGTTATTTAACAGCAAAGCCTGTTTTGAATGCATAACATAACCTGGAAATATGTAAAGAACAATTCATTTCACCCTAATTCCTCCCCCTTGGCTGTGGATACACTCTGGATAGTCACAGAGCCATGTCGGAGTGACCTTAATGCTGAAATCAGACACAGAGCTTGCAGAATTGCCCCTCAACCCCTGATTATGTCTGCAGCGGTTGGGCTTCGACCAGAGCTCAAGGGGATGTTGGGAAATGCGAAGCGATGAGACTTTGTAGATGAATGAAGTATTAAAATTTATGTTGCACTTGTATCCGATTTAATAGTTTCTGAATGCGAAACATCGCCGCACAATGCTTGAGCACAATGCTCAAGTGTGGAGCGATTAAAATGATTTGCAATGAAATTCAAAATGTGCGACAGTTGAACGCATGCTGGGGATGTTTCATTTTTATCCAACAGAACTATTCGAATCAACCCTGTGGTTAACACAAGGTTAACCACTTCCAAAATAAATCTGCAAGCGCTTCTGAACGTCTTAAAAATGACAGTTTTAGATTCAAAACGTTTAATAGCTCTTCAAATTATTGGATTTTTGTCTTGTTATTTCAGTTTTGTCTCCGGAAAATGCCTCTAAAAATTCTCACCAAATTTTTAGGTTATGAACTTGATTAAAAAATCCTTTTTTGAACTAATTTTAATCCTTTCAAACCTGAAAATTAGTAAATATATAGTAAATATGACAATATTTCCACAAAAAAGGTAGAATTTTCCACCTAAAACCTAAACAAAGAGACATTTTTCTGCACTGAAATTTTATTTTTGAGGTTATGTTTGACTTTTAAGCTTTTTCTCAACCAATATGAAGGTTTTTTCAACACAAATCCTCAACTTTGCACAAGAAAAAGAGAAATAATCCTCAGTTTAAATACAATTTGAATGATTTTGAGGGTTATTTTATTAGAATTGGTTCTAATTCAATCACATAACCTAAAAAAAAGTGATAAAATTGATTTTTCTAGGCAAAATTATTTTAGAAAATGCCTGAATTTGGTTGAAATGGAAGCTTTTTCAGCGGAAATATTCTAATATATTTTTCCACTTTCACTTCCAAACACTTCCACAAAAGCTGTACACCACTTCCGAGCATAATATCTGCCCCTTGTGGTTAACATGTGGGAAGTGATTCTTCGCAGTGACAGGGAGTCATCGACTCTCCACTTCATCAAATGATAATGATGAATTGTTGCGCACGCATATTGCCATGTAGCATGTCAGGGAAATAATGAATTGATTTATAGCGCAATGATAGCCACTACCATTAGACAGGATGCTGTAATTATTGCTACATTTGTCGAATTAAATTGTCGAGTGTGTGCGAGAGGCCAGACGAGGTCTCTTCATCCCTTAATTCAATGAATTACACCAATTATACCCTTAAGCACACACGCTCTCAACAAAAGGCATGGAATTTTGTCTGTTTTTCACAGGCTCAGCCCCTCTGGCGAGTGGGTGGAAAGGAAGAAAAAAAATGGGAGCATAAACAACTGTGGAAGCATTTTGTGTATTGTAGGTGAATTGAAGTAAATGGACATTATTTATTAATAGGCGCCGTATGCGATTTTAATCTAAGAAATGCGTTACGGATAAAAATGTTAAGACGAGCGCACGTGATTCGCTGAATGGATTTCCTCAGAATGCCTCCAGGAGTTGAGATTTTATGGTGCGTGTTTACTTTTTGAATATGCGGGGTGTATTATCCTCCTGCTGTAGCCGTTGGATTTATTGTTGGGAAAATCCATGGCAAACACACACGCAGATTTTCCACAAGATGACATTTAACTTGCACAAGAAAGACATCTAATTCATATTATGCTTTTGTTTAATTGTGAGATAAAGAGGACAAAAAGGTCGATTTTTCCGTGTTATGAATTGAATTGGTAAGAAAAGTGTCTTCAAAAGCAACAATATCATCCATTTACTAAGAATTTGAGGAGCTTTAGGAGATCAATTGGCATGACAAGGCGATTTTCTGACTCTTTTCCAGCTCTCGAGACTTACTGTGGAATAGTTAATAATAAAATAAAAGGTAAACACTTACGAAACGTCTCTTATATAGCTTCTTGAACACCCCGGGAAAATTATTCGATTATATAGATAGGGCGAGCTTAGATTTTTCTAAGGCAATCACACCCCAAGGACCCAATGTTAGAGTATCTGGAAATTGATTTTTCCTCCACTCTAAAGTGCTCGTCACGATTTTTCACGAGAGAGAAATTGAAAATATCAGTAGAGTTTATTGGAGCAATTCTGTGTACGTCATCTTTTGCAGGAGCGGGAAAAGAACAATATAGCCGATATAGCGCACAAAGAGAGGGGCAGATGGGGGTGTGGGAGAGGGTGTATAAGAAAATATACACACAAATTGAAAATGTTTTTCCAGGCGTTGTTGCTTGCAACTCAAAAGCCACGCTATGCACTCTCTCGGTGTTTTCCATACAAATACATTTTTGCCATCACACTGGGCTTCAGGCTCCGCAAGAGGCCACGGGAAAAATTTAACTACCAGCGGAAAATATTTATTTTGACGCAGTGTGCAAGGGTAGTATTTTGTGAAGAGAACACGTAAATATTGAAATTGTTTTGAAGAAAACTTCGGCTTTGGCTCTTTGACAAAGTCACTCATGGGCGAGGCGATTTGAACATTTTCCACACTGTGTTGCTCTAATTTAATTCTCTTCTCCGGGTGAAAAACTCATTGTCAATCACTTGAGCAACGTACAGTAGTGAAAATTAGGTTAGAAAATAACTTCCCTGTCATGCATCAATAATAAATTACTAATTTATTGGACTTTATAATGTGAAATTGACTAAAACTCAAACAAAACATACAAAAAGCAAGTTGAAAAGTCCAAATTAAGACGCTGTATGATATAAATGTCTTCTAGACATTGCAAACTTATGATTAAATGTGGTTATACGAGCCAGTTTTATGGTTATAACATGGATTTAGAGCAATATTGGCAGAGTTTTAACTCAATTTTCGCTGTTTTTTTACGCACGTTTCTCCGCATTTTGCAATATCTCGGCTCAGAATTGAGATATTGACATAATCTCAACGCCTTTTGAAAGATCATTAAATTCTAATTATTTCTTGTCTTAAGGTAATTGTCGTGAAAATTGAAGGAAATATCGAATTTTTAACATCAAACGGAAACTGTTCTCTACTGTTCTTTCATGCCAAATACGGCGTAACGCAGCCACTTATCTAGCTGAAATTAAATTCTCAAGTGCGTTTGGGGTGTGAAATTCATCAATTTTTCAGCCTGCGTAAGCTTTCTTCTGAAGCTCAGAAATGCACTCAATTTTTCACTCATTGAGACATTTTGTGTCTCGAGCATGGAGTAAAGAAGCCTCTTCGTCATCTCAAGCCGCACAGGCATTTCTTGCACGTGAACTCCGACGGATCCTTGAGCAGTTCTGAGAGACTCTTCAAATCCATGATTGCATGAGTGTTGTGAGCGCGTGAAATGCTAATATTTGCCAGCACTGCACGAGACACAGATATACTACACATGAGCCTACACTGCTTATTTAATTTCTATTGCAATCGTCTCACATCGAGTCAAGAATTCACTTTACATGCACTATTCAAAAGCTCTTGAGCAGCATTTGAACTTTGCATAAAATACACAATTTCGAGTGTAATTTTTACACCTCAAAATCAATGTGAAATAATTGCTATAGAGAAAATTCATTGCATATTTCCTGTTTGACACAGCTTTAAGCTTTGTTGGATTGAAATTATCTCATTGAAAACATAAAAGTTGAAATTGGAATTATTAAAGTGTCTTGAGTTATTTTTTCTCCCTCAACTTTTCTTACAAATAATTCAATGAATTTTTGGAGGATTGAGCTGGAACTTTCCCAAACAACTATGACTCCAAAATTATACTCTTCTGCGCGTCTAGTAATTTATGATGCCCTCACTTCAGCGTGGCAACACACTATAACAATTCAATCCCATGTGAAAAGTTGAAAATTAACCGCCAGAGAAGAAATTTCAAAGAACAATAACAATAAATTCACTCGGTATCTTCTCTCTCTCTCTCTCACTTCACAAATGGAGAAATTATTAATTCATATAGAGGAGTTGCTCGAAGTTATAACTTTCCTATTGAGTCACCCATTTTGAAGTGACTTCGTGATGTTTCCTGTGTGACACAAGTTTTCCCCTCCTGAGCTGCCATGAGTGCAACATGCAGAGTTTCTCC